TAGTGGAGTAAAAGTACACTATTCACCTCTGAATTGTAGTGGAGAAGAAGTACACAGTAGCATAACATTGAAATACTCAAGTACAAGTCCTTCAAAATTACACCCAAGTACAGAACTTGAGTAAATGTACTTAGTTACTTAACATCACTGTGTAAATCACCCATAGTAGTGTAAAACCATTGAGAGAAAAGTGCCTATTAGTATAGATATTCAAATCCATCTAAACTAAAGAACTGTTAATCCTACTTTAAAAAGAAGTGAAACATACAGTAAAAAACAATACAATATAAAAGTAGAATAACTATTGTTCTGTGATATATGTGATTGTATAAAGGACTACTGTATATGGAAATGTGCTTTGGTGTAATCAATGATTACACTGAGTGGCCCTACAGAGCAGCCAGGCTCCTGGAGGTTAGATTAGCAGTCTGGAAAATCTCTGTCAGAATAATGAGCGGGAACTGGAGCAGAGTCACGAGTCCTGTTCAGCAGAGAGCAAAGTCCTCACACACACACACGCACGCACACGCGCGCACACACACACACACGCGCGCACACACACACGCACGCCTTGGCCTCTGTGCAGTCGACTGTCCTACTGGACAAACAAAGAGGCATTCAGAGACAACAGAGTGTAGTTACTGCCAACGTCCATGTGGCATTATCTCAAATACACATATCTAATATAGCTTCCAAATATATTATTTACCTTTCCATCAGGGAAATATGCTTAGTTTCTAAAATACATTCCTAATAGAACCTCGACACACTCAATCTGTTAACATCTGTGTTCCAACTGTTACAACATAAGTAACCACAGAGATACCTTGAGGCAAAAGCTCGAAATTAATTAAGGTATGAATTATATATATATTTTAAAAATGTATATAAATGTCAAAAAAAGTGCAGAGCCCCCTGAAAGGTCATGGAGGAAATTATGTTTACTTCTGCAGCCACTTCAGACTCTGCGTGTTACCCCAGCTTGTTACATATCTTTATTGATTACTCGATTCTGATTGGCCAATGTTGACATTCTGACGGTATGTTATTACTTTATAGCAGACCGCTGCTATGTATGACAGACCATTGTTAAGAGGAGGTCTATAGAGTGGCGAAGTCCCTCCCCTTCCGGTGGACCTCCATGGGACCTTATTTCGGAAAAATTATGTATTGAAGTCAATGGAGAGAGAACGATTATCTTTCGATCCCGTTTGAATTGTGCCAAGAATTACACATACGATTTTTGTCAATTTAAAAGATAATTTTGCCAGTCAAAAAAAAAAAAGTGTAAAACTGTGAAGTAACACATTTCTTTGTGTGAAACGGTCAATGAACTACATCTCTGGTCTTGCACAACAACACACGTCACCAAGATGGCCATCACTACTGTCTTGCTAAACAAGGGATTGACTACCCTCACTATCGCCACACTGAAACACGTCCAGAAGAATGTCATGCAAAGCTGCCTGCCTTCCTTTGATTCTCTCTGAACTGCCTGATCTTTTTAATGTGTAATGTCAACCATTTGTGCAGATAGCATGAAGTACAAAAGATCGCCGATGCTAATGTAGCGTTAGCATTTCTCCCCCGGGCTTAAATGGTGTATTATAGAATGATCACACCGGTGTGACAGTACTCTTCAAAGGGTTCACGGAATATGACTACTGCTCTTACTGTTTAACATTTTGGGTTACTTAATGTTACTTCATGTTAAGGCTAATAAAAATGACAAGGCTACGGCTAACTAACGTGCTAGCTACTAGCTAGGTAGCTAACTTGATCCAGCCAGCCACTCCTGGTCCTTTCATCAGACGGGAAGCGAAAGAACGAGCAAGACCCATTGCTGGTATGATAACAACCTGGTACTAAGCACACAGGCATCTTGTTAAAGTTATCTTATCTTAGCTATCTCTTATATTTAGCGGAGGAAAACAATTGTGACATCACTTACGCGACTCTGGGATTTGTAGTCTTTCTAGTTGCGTATTTTTCATAGTCTTATATTTCAACAGTTTTACGAAAAACTGTGACTTTTTTGACATGGAAATTATTTTTTAAGATTGACAAACATCATATGTGTAATTCGTGGCACAATTCAAACGGGATCGAAAGATAAGTTTTCTTTCTCCATTGACTTTAATACATCATTTTTCCGAAATAAGGTCCCTTGGACCGGAAGTAGATGTGCTGTAAAATGTAAGATTGCCAGATCAGGTAATATACAGTACGTCAACCATATACTGCTGCAGTAAATCACACTTTGATCTTATTATTAAAAGTGTATATCCCCACCCCTTAGCTTTGTGGTCTAAAGTAACTACTCAAGTACTGTACTTAGGTACAATTTTGAGGTACTTGTACTTTACTTGAGTATATTGACTTTTTGCTACTGTGTACTTTTACCCCTCTTCAATCCAGAGGTAAATAGTGTACTTTTTCTCCACTACATGTATTTAATACCTTAAGTTACTTTACTTTACTTTACTTTATGAATGATTTGAAATATAATCAAGTCTTAAATCAGACTTTAGTTCCACCTGGTGTAAATTCACAAGCTACCCGGCCTGCAGTATACAAAGTCATTCAAACTACACTGAACAAAAATATAAACGCAACACTTTTGTTTTGCTCCCATTTTTCATGAGATGAACTCAAAGATCGAAAACATTTTCTATATACACAAAATAACCATTTCTCTCAAATATTGTTCACAAATCTGAAAAAAATCTGTGATAGTGAGCACTTCTCCTTTGCCGAGATAATCCATCCCACCTCACAAGTGTGGCATATCAAGATGCTGATTAGACAGCACGATTATTGCACAGGTGTGCCTTAGGCTGGCCACAATAAAAGGCCACTCTGAAACGTGCATTTTTGCTTTATTGGGGGGGGGGTCCGAAAACCAGTCAGTATCTGGTGTGAGGGGTAGGGGTAAGGTTAGGGTTAGGGTAATGTTGTGAATCGAGTGGCCTGTGTTCGTCGCCCATTAACATACGCCTGCCCATACCATAACCCCACCACCACCATGGGCCACTCAATTCACAACATTACCCTAACCCTACCCCTCACACCAGATACGGACTGGTTTTCGGACCCCCCCAGAGAAATGGTTATTTTGTGTATATAGAAAATGTTTTAGATCTTTGAGTTCATCTCATGAAAAATGGGAGCAAAACAAAAGTGTTGCGTTTATATTTTTGTTCAGTGTAGCAGCACCTTTACCAGCTTTGAGAACACTTTCATGATCAATCATTATAAAACATATCATATATTATTCTGAAATGGACCAATCTGCACAAGGACTACTTTTGGTACTTTAAGTATATTGTGATGCTAATACATTTCTACTTTTACTTGAATAGCATTTTGAATGCACAACTTTTACTTGTAACAGTATTCCTACACTCTGGTACTTATAAGATCTAAATAATTGTTCCCACCTCTGCGCAGCTCTGGGTTTTACATCGATCTGATTACTCTGACTCAGCAATCAACTTGGTCTTAAACACCCTCAATGCTTTTCTCATTGTCAGAAGACATTAGACACGTTGGGTCTCGGGCTCTTGACAAATAGAGCCAGAGTTGGATTTGTCCTGAACTCAGATGCTGTTCTGTCAACAGCTATTCAATGCCTGTTTATTTTATCCCCAGCTCTACTAACAGCTGCCAGGGTTAGAGAAACAGCAGGGAGAGGGATGAGTGCACAGGCTGGAGGTTAGCAACACAAGATATGTCGTTGGGTTCACTACAAGGGAAGCAGAACCTCTCCTCTGAGCTGCTGTTTACTCAGGAACAATTATAGTTTAACAATGATAAGAAGTTAAAATAACTTGTTCTGTTACGTACTCAGCTGTGTTTGTTGCTTATTGTTACTTGGCCTCCCAAGTTCTTTTGATTTGATTTAGGGTAATAATACAAAATATGAATCAACATTGTAATATGTTAGTAGAGGTAAGCTACCCAGTAGTGTATAAAGCAATTCACATAAAACCCACTTTAATCAAATTGATGTCAAATTAATAACTTTAATACATTTATTAAAAATAATTCAAACATATCTGATTAAAAAAGGTAATTGTGCATAAGAACTTTTTCTTTTGGTACTTAAAGTATTTCAAGCTAATACGTTTTTACTTAAAGGTGGAGTAGGTCATTTTGGAGAAACCAGCTGGAGTGCGCTAGAATTTGAAAATACACAACCGGGAAAAATCTGCCACCTCCTTCCAGAGCCCCTCCTCCAACACACACGAACGCGCACATGACCAATGAGGGCACGAGATAAGTTTGTGCACAGAAGGAAGGCTGACAGGCCAGCTAAAATGATTGGTTGTACTTTTTACAGTACCACGGCTTCCACAGATGACATTTTTTTATGGATTTTTTGTCAAAGCACTTAAGATATTCATTGCTATCGGGATGTTAAGAGCATTCTATGGAATATAACAAAAAGTGCCGGTTTCTCAAACGTACCTACCCCACCTTTAAGTTACATTTTTAATACAGGACTTTTAGTTGTTACAAATTATTTTGACACAGTTGCTACTTTGACTTCTTAATTCAATCCTCTGAGTACTTCTTCCACCTCAGCACATAAGCTATCTTTAACACACCTCTACGCAAAATAAACTTGCCTTAAGGCTTACACACTGATGGAACCAGAGGGCTGTACTTTGAGATGAGTGTAAGCAAGTCGTGTTGAGCCTCAAGTTCTCCATATGACGAAGGTGGCACTCTTTAAACCTGACTCGATCACCATGGCAACTATCATGCACAAGTTCAGAGTTTCAGCTAGTAAAAGCTTACATGTAGCAATAAATGAAGCACATCATGGCTGGGTATCACCACCGCGCTTGCCTAGATTAGCCACTAGTTAACCAAAACCAAAGTTGTGTTTTAACACTTCTATCAAATAACACATTCGAAAGAAAAAAAGAAATATATTTGTTTTGTTTTAAAAGCTGTGATGAGGCGACAATAAAACAACTTTGGGACTCACACAATTAATATAAATACATGTTTTATTGGTTTCAACTGCAATCTGTCATTACAAAATAAACAAAGTAATTACTGTAATAACAGCAATGGCTGCTGGAGAATACATTCAACACTTTTCATGTGTCAATTATGTTAACCTCTAACCTACAGGAATACATTTTAGGCTTTAATTTGCTCTGTTAACCTGGAATGTATTTATAGGCACTTTCATGGGAAAAAGTGGTCAATAATAACCTTGACGACATCATCATTGTGATGACTCAAAGTGCTACTTAGCCTATCCATGGAACAAGCATTCTGCTCAATCATCTTTTCAAAATAACAGCTGAAGATGCTTTAGTCACAAAGTGAAACTGATTCAGTGACTTTAATAGTCAAATGAGAAATAATCCCAGTAAAGGACCAATATGGACAGACAGCTGTTCCAGAGCCAGTTTACATTCTTCCAAATGACAAAAGCTGCTGCCACGAACTGCAGCAGGGAGGAGAGGCTGGACTAAAGGAAGCTACGTTATCCTTTGGCATTTTGTAAGATGAAGGTGGGAGATGAACACAGGGTTCCAACACAAATGCAAGTCACTTTGAAATATTCTGCTGTTCAATATTATTCATGGATGCACTGCAGTGGATGGTTTTACAGTCAAATCAGTATACCTGAAGAATGGAGATCTAAAACCACGGTGAATGTTGCAATGATCAGAAGAGTACACACATATTTTCTCCTGACTAGTGCCATCTCAAAATCCACTAAATAAGGCCTTAAAAGGAATATCACTAGAGTGGTGCAGTCATGACGTATTCTCGTAAGGCCACCTAGAGTTTAGCATCACATGGTTCTCTCAATTAAAAATAATTTGATTTTGGAATAATACAGAAAATAATATACTTTGTTCAGCAAAAATAATCTCTACTTATTAACTTCATTTTATGATTTCTGAAACGTAAATGCAATTGCCAAAGGTAAGAAAACTTAGTTTGGCTTTAACAGAACTACACTGCTAAGCTAAAGCTGGCTAATGTTCGGCGTGATAATGTCTTTAGCTTGTGTAACCCACACACATTCTTTCAGGCACCTAAGACAAAAATAACATTTAAAAAAATGCAGTTCATTTGAGACGAGGGAACCAAAACCTTTAGGACTCATTCCTGCACCACTCTATGCCAATACATATGTTCACTCAAACACATTCATCATTGATTCCACGTTTAGAGACACAAAATGCTCTGGCAAAAAAAGATGGGGGGCGGAGACAATAAGGCACACATCAGAACCCTGCTACACCTGCATTACCTGCACTCAGACGCTACACACACCCTGTATGCTACTAGCTTACTTACCTGATTAGTTTGCACTGACTGAATTAATTTGAACTTCTTTATGGCAGCTGCACATCTCACCCCCCCCACCCCCTCCACTCAAACATACACTGAGGCACTGACTGCTACCTCCACCTGCAGTCAAACATGTGGGAGGAGCAAACAATAAATACAAATGTGTTTAAATTAAGGTTCACTTTGCAAATAAATCAAATGTTACAAAATATGTCATTGCAGTATAATATATTAACTGTGAAAAAAGTAACACAAATGGATCTTCGCAATCTTGCGATTAACGCAGAGGATCCTAATTTCACATAAAAGAAAATATATATTCTATTGTTTCATTAACCAGATAAATACAAAATAAAAATGCTTAAGATCAGCAATAAATACATTTTGATAAATAAGCAGTGACCCCCAAAGCGCTTACTCAGAAGGCCTTGGGAAATAAACTAGACAATAATAATAATAATAATAATTACGGTGGAATCAACAGGAGCGCATTTGATTTCAGACAGAACTGATCAATTGGATAAACTCCACTGCTAACAAATAATCTAATTGTTCAAACGAGGTTCAAATCTAAAGACCAACGTGGCCAATCAACACTCAGAACCTGCCAACTGCTGTTAAAGCATGTTGAAGAGTCAGTTTACCAAGAGCCAAATAACCCAATATCCCAGTTTCAAAATGACACACTTAGTGTCTCTGTTCCCGTGTGCCTCTATGGACCTCAGAGTGAACAGCTCTACTGGAACATTTGTAAAAATGTCTCCAGTGGGTTCTGAGTGACACAGAAACCCATCTGGACGACATGTGGCGACTAAATGTATTTAAATAGGATTGAAGGAACGGATATCTCTGAATAAAATGATAAGCAGGAGAATCTGCATTGTTATAGGAATATGACACTACAGGTAAGTGAGGGAATATCATTTTCTTAAATCTGGGTAAACTGACTCTTTAACTCCAACTTCAGAGATATGTTGGAAAAAGAAAGAGTCTCCGGTGAGCAAACGGAGAATAATAGCTGACCACAGGCTGGATATTAAGAGGCACATTGCACCAGCATTCCAGCCTGTCTGAAGAAAAGCAATCTGTCAGACGGACTCTAAAACACAGTCAGCGTGACACGCAGGGGAACAGGACACTGGGCATGATTAGAGGTGAAGAGACAGTCTTACTGTTACTGTTTGCTTCACACGAAAAATACCTAAGGCACTATCACTGTCTACTGACGAGCTCTTGTTCCATTTTATGGTGACGATCCTTTAAAAAGTGAAACACTGAGTTGTCACAAGCCTCGAGGAAGTGTCAAGGCACAGGAGATCAGAATAATAATGGCTGCAACACACAGCATAGAGACACCCTGTACTGAACACACACAGACCCTCCTGCCTCTCCTACTGCCCATAATAAGTTATATTAAAGTATTCTATAATGTGATCTCTGAGCTACGTTACACAATCCTTCATATTCATTCCACCAATGCACCAGTGCAGGGCCTTAATCAGATTCTGCTTTACCAACTGTTCATGATTTTGGAAGAGACTTGATCTGGATTTGTGATGAGATTAGCTGCTTCTCCTGTAAACAGAGCTCAAGAGGAGGAGACGTGGGAATGGGAAGTGAATGGTCTCCATCTTCCTGTCCCTTTCTTGACTCCTAATCATCGGAGACGGAGAGCCGGCTGAAGATGGGGAGGCGGCGGGAGGCGTCCAGCAGCGGGGACTCGGACCCACTCTGACTGCCCTGGCTGCTCTGGTAGCCCTCCTGATCCGACAGAGAGCTTGCTGGGCTGGAGGAGCTTTCTGATGGCGGCTGGAAAAAGCAGGTGGAACTCGGAGAAGGCGGGGCCAGAACCTGAGGCTCAGATATGGGTGGTGGCCCCAAGCTGGGGCCGAATAGGCCTGCAAGCTCCTGGCTTGCGTAAGTAAAGGGGTTGCTCTGCCACTCACCCAGGTCTTCGGAGGCGAACAAGGGTGGAGGTGTGACCGAGGTGGGGCTGTCCCGCCGGCCGCTGGAGCTCGGGAAGCCGGCAAAGCTGAAGCTGTGTTGCAGCCGAGGGCGCTCCATCTTGTTAAAGGCAGACAGGGGAGGGGGCCCCCGGCGCTCCTCTGCATTGTGGATGAAGTGGCAGCGGGGGCCGTAGGGGCAGAACCCGATGGTGTGGAAGGTGCGGCACAGCTCCGTTTTGTACTTGGGGTGGCGGCTCAGGTTGCGCAGCTCGTGCATGCCGTGGGCAAACTGGCACTTATCTCCGTATTTACAGGTGCCGTTCTCCTCGAAGGGCCGGCACAGCTCCGTCTTGTAGCGACTCGAGTTCACTTGGCTGCTTCCCGGAGAGCCGGGCCACAGCCGCTCCCCCAGCTCCGAATAGGAGCGCTCACGGAAATGGTTCTCCTTGTTGTTGTTGATGCTGCTGCCCAGAATCAGTGAAGGATCCCTTTGAATGTTGACAAACTGGTTATGGCTGAACTTTGGACTCGGGAGGCTGACGGAGTGACAGCGTTGGAACAGGCCTTCTGCAGAGGGGGCCCCCACCACTTTCCTGTCCAGCAGGGACCCAGTAGGGGTGCAGGACGGGGGGTTGGCACTGGAGCATGGGACAGACACCAGCTGAAGTCCATCAAAACTGTTGTTGTTGTTACTGTAGTTTTCATGCATCTTACTGTTCTGTAAAGAGAAACACATTTCATTAAAAAAAACTGGCAGTTCACACACTTCCCTACTTATGGCGCGTTTCCACTGCAGCGGGTAGCTCGCTTTAAGCGTGCCGAGCCGTGCGGGGCCCGTTTTTGGATGCGTTTCCACTTGGCCTAGTACCGGCTAGCGGGTCCTAATTCACAGTTTTTCTGGCCCCATAAAATCGTGCTTCTAGGGCCAGGAACAACCAGGCTGAGTCGGGCTGAGTATGCTAAACTAGAGAGAGAATCGCTGGCAAGGGGGCTACAACTACAACAAGATGAACATATTTGACCGTGATTTAATTGTAATACACGTTTCAAAATGATGCCGAAGTAACAACATACTGATACCGGTTAGTAAAAACCATGAATTAATGCTTTGACAAGTCTGCAGACAGACGGCAGGTGAAAAACCTTTTCAAATGCGTGTTTTCTGAATGGAGCTTGGCTAAGCTAACGTTATATATGCTCCGACCGTCCACACTCACAACAACGGCCTATACAGACATAAACAAACCAGCGACTGTATTCGCCATGACACAGGCAGTCTGTGGTTTGTACTTGTTTAACTTTTGTCTAGTTTCTGAACAGATATGAGGAGCTGTGAGCTCTGAGTGCTAAGAGCTAACGGCTGTGCTGTTTTTCTGGGGCTCTCATTGAAGATGACGTCACGGCTCCGCCTACACTGCGTTACTATAGTAACTACCCCAGTTCCTAAACTGTAATGGAAGCGCAGCATTAAATTAGTGAGCCAGGCCTAATAAGGCCTAACCAAACCGAGCGAGGCCTGCAGTGGAAACGCGCCATTTGTGAGAAGATCAGGGCTGCAATTAACGATTATTTTTTGCCTATTGATCTGCGTATTTGTTTTTGGATTAATCATTTGGTCTATGAAACAATATTCAAAAAAGATGTTGCCTCGTTTTGTCAAAAAAGAAGAAGAAATCTCCATAATTTAAAAGGAATTGTAATGAATTATCATTTGGAAGTATATCCATTATGTTGTTTGTGATATTTTTACATACAGGATCTGAACCTTAACAGTTTCAAGATGAAAAAAAACTGGTGATTTATTGAAGAACTTAATTGAATCTTACTTCCTTAAATCTAACTTCAACCTCATGTGCGTTGTTTACATCAGCAGTGAAACTTCAAAAATGTCTAACGTGAAAAAGCTTTTCATGCAGTATCAAAATAGTTTTTAATATAGCCATGAGAGTAATGTTGCTCAAAAATCAGCTACAACACAAAGTAAAGTTGAAGCGTTGGAAACTTCAAAGGGGCATGAAATGATATGATTTTTATCTTTCTTCATTTCATGTTTGAGCCCAAGTCATATGACAAATTACTATTAATTCCCTTTGGATACGCTGACAGATGAAGTGTATTTGATTTTGAACAAAGCCCCGGGGGTGGATGAGATCCGCCCAGAAATGCTGAAGGCTCTGGGTGTTGAGGGACTATCATGGTTGACACGTCTCATCAACGTTGCGTGGAAGTCGGAAACAGTACCGAAGGAGTGGCAGACCGGGGTGGTGGTTCCCCTTTTCAAAAAGGGGGATCAGAGGGTGTGTGCCAATTACAGAGGCATCACATTACTCAGCCTCCCCGGGAAAGTTTACTCTAAGGTACTCGAAAGGAGGGTCAGGCCGATTGTTGAACCTCAGATTGAGGACGAACAATGCGGATTCCGTCCTGGTCGTGGAACGACGGATCAGCTTTTTACTCTCGCAAGGATCCTGGAGGGGGCCTGGGAGTACGCTTATCCGGTCTACATGTGTTTTGTAGACTTGGAGAAGGCGTATGACCGAGTTCCCAGGGAGTTACTGTGGGAGGTGCTGTGGGAGTATGGGGTGAGGGGGTCTCTACTTCATCTAATCTCTGTACTCCCAAAGCGAGAGCTGTGTCCGGGTCCTCGGCAGTAAGTCGGACCCATTTCCGGTGAGGGTTGGCCTCCGCCAGGGCTGCGCTTTGTCACCAATCCTGTTTGTAATATACATGGATCGGATTTCCAGGCGTAGTCGTGGGGGAGGGGGTGTGCAGTTCGGTGGACTAAGGATTGCACCACTGCTTTTTGCAGATGATGTGGTTCTAATGGCTTCATCAGCACTCACTGAATCGGTTCGCAACCGAGTGTGAAGCGGCTGGGATGAGGATCAGCACCTCCAAATCTGAGGCCATGGTTCTCAGCAGGAAACCGATGGACTGTCCACTCCAAGTAGGGAATGAGTCCTTACCCCAAGTGAAGGAGTTCAAGTATCTTGGGGTCGTGTTCTCGAGTGAGGGGACAATGGAGCGTGAGATGGGCCGGAGAATCGGAGCAGCGGGAGCGGTACTGCAGTCGCTTTACCGCACCGTTGTGACGAAAAGGGAGCTGAGCCAGAAGGCAAAGCTCTCTGTCTACCGGGCCATTTTCGTTCCTACCCTCACCTATGGTCATGAAGGATGGGTCATGACCGAAAGAACGAGATCGCGGATACAAGCGGTCGAGATGGGTTTTCTCCGCAGGGTGGCTGGTGTCTCCCTTAGGGATAAGGTGAGAAGTTTGGTCATCCGGGAGGGACTCGGAGTTGAACCGCTCCTCCTTCGCTTCGAAAGGAGCCAGTTGAGGTGGTTCGGGCACCTAGTTAGGATGCCACCTGGGCGTCTCCCTAGGGAGGTGTTCCAGGCACGTCCAGCTGGGAAGAGACCAAGGGGTAGACCTAGGACCAGGTGGAGGGATTATATCTCTTCGCTGGCCTGGGAGCGCCTTGGGATCCCCCAGTCAGAGCTGGTTGATGTGGCCAGGGAAAGGAAAGTTTGGGGCTCTCTGCTGGAACTGCTACCCACGCGACCCGACCACGGATAAGCGGGAGAAGATGGATGGATGGATTTTGAACATTTCCCTAAAATCTAAACAATAATTCCATAAGAAAAGATAGAAACTCTTAATGACAAAAACCTGTTTACCATCTGTGTGCATCTCACTTTTCTATTGTGTTGTTCAGACCATATGAGGAGTGGATTGTGTGAAGTCTTCATTTTAAGACTGTGCAGATCGCTTCAAATGTACCATAGAAGAATCTTCACCACTCATTGAACACAGAATAGTCCTGAAGTCACTATGGTGCATGTGTCATTCTATATTTATGTGTTGAATAAAGTTACACTGTGAAACTATATTGATGGCTCTCCTTATCGTGAGTTCAACATTGAAATGTAAAAACTGTAGAGCATGTCAATGAGCATAGATTGGTTCAACAATACAGTCTGTTCTGGGAATAATTGGCCTTCTGTCATATGGATCCTTTTCATGGCTCCATATGGGACTGGCCCGTAGCTGAAGTTTCCTCTGTTGTGATACTGCAGGCTTTGGCAAAAGCAAGCAGCTCTGTTAAGCCCCAAAGCCCCCCTCGGCGGGTCCTTTTTTTTTCACGACACTGTGTCTCAGGGATCTTAATATTTAAGAACCTATTAATGTGTTATACCAGATTAACGGGAATAATCTCAGCTAACTGACGATACAAACCATTTTTACCAAAACAAAAACACAAGTCTCATAACGCACTTTGGCACAGAACTCGAGATAAATGATACCCTTATTACTTATCGTAGCTGCACATACAATATATCCGATTAAAGCTGAGGTTCCACAGATTATTTAGTTATATATATCATCACTAAGTGATCCGAACTCGCGACAGGGGAAGCAAACTCAGACATCACAACACATACCTTTACGTAGCTTTTACGGGAGATCCTCTCACCGTAGCTGTCAATCTGATCAAAAGACGTGTTCAATGGCATTACAACGAGAAAAAACGCGGCTGAAAACGGTTAATCCATAGGTTGATAATGTTTCTGGGTAATAATCTTTTTAATTTATAATCCATAATTCCATTTTAATGTAAAAATCGGAGGGTAAAAGTTAGCTGCTAATGGTAAACACCAGAGTTATCGCAGCTTCCGGTCTTGGCAATGCGGCAGTCTCACACACACACGTTACCAAATAAGGAGTATGTGGGAGTTCCCCTCGATTCCATTGGCTCTGACGGTTAGAAAGAGATGTCAATCAGCAAAATCGAACAAGGGGGGCCAGAGATAGGTCAAACCCACCCAAATGACCCCAGAAGTGTTTTTTTTGTTGCTAAATCTCTCTAAAAAAGGTCAAATTTCACTTGTTTTGCATCAATCTTGATACAGGGTACTTATATGTTGTAGTTTGGATTCCTAAAGCTTTTAGTCTACCATCCCATCATTCAAGGGTGGTGTTCACTAGAAGTAATTTTTTTTTTTTGGACGGACACAATAATTAATATTTTTTTTACTGTGTTCAATCTGAATTTACTTTAAAATAAAAACATCTATATTGATTCTGACACTTCTACATCCAACTCACAGGTGTAACCTTGCTTTGAGAAAAAAAGATTATTAATTTAACCCTTTTAGAAGTGAAGATATGGTAATTTGTTCTGGGAATGTCATTTTCGAGCCTGAGACCTGAAAAACAGGCTCAGGATCCAACAGGTTTAAAAGGTGGGGTAGGTAAGTTTGAGAAACCGGCTCGAGATACACTTTTTGTTATATTCCATGGAATGCTCTTAACATCCCGATAGCAATGAATATATTAAGTACTTTGACAAAAAATCCATTAAAAAACGTCATCTGTGGAAGCCGTAGTATTGTAAAAAGCACGACCAATCATTCAGCCTTCCTCTGTGCACAAACTTATCTCGTGCCCTCATTGGTCATGTGTGTGTTCGTGTGTGTTGGAGGAGGGGCTCTGTAAGGAAGTGGCAGATTTTTTCCGGCTGTGTATTTTCAAATTCTAGCGCACTCGAGCTGGTTTTTCCAAAATTACCTACTCCACCTTTAAGGGCTCAACAGTAAGTAAGTGCTTTAGTAAAAACATCCGGGTTTGACACTTAAAAAAACTAAAGAGTAACAGCTCATACGTTTTCAGACTCCAAAGGACATGCAGGTAATTAAAGTACAAAGGCATCGTTGGCTATAATAAAGCTGTGTAGCAATGCCATGATGTATTTAATGACCCAAGTTACTTCTTCATATGTATAGCACAATGAACTAGTTAACGTGAAACAAAGTTCATATCATTACACAGACAGCAATCGTGGCCACTGGTGTAAAGTAACTAAGTACGTCATTTACTGAAGTGCTATACTTAAGTACAATTTTGAACTTTATTTGAGTGCTTCATTTGTTTGCAATTTCTACTTCTACCCCACTACGATTGAATGGTTAGGGTTATGGTGAATGGTGTACTTTTACTCCACTCCATTTATTTAATACCTTTGGTTACTTTTCAGATTAGCAATAATGATGTGAAATATAATCAAGTGTTAAATCAGTCTTTAGTTCCACCTGGAGTAAATTCACAAGCTACCCTGCAGTATACAAAGTCATTCAAACTAGCTGCACCTTTACCAGCTTTGAGAACACTTTCATGATCAATCATTATAAAACATATCATATTATTCTGATGTGGGCTAACGTGTATCACGAGTACTTTACCCGTTAGTACTTTAAGTATATTTTGGTGCAAAGACGTTTGAACCTTTACTTGAGTAACATTTTGAAAGCAGGACTTTTACTTTTAAGTAGTATTCCTACACTTTGGTGCTTATGCTATACTTCAGTACAAGATCTGAGTACTTTCCCAATCTCTGCTGCCAACTTCGGTTAACATTAAATGGCAGGCTAACGGTACGTGCTGGTAATAAACAATGCTAAATAAGCCTTAAAACACGAACGCACGCGGGCACACACTCATGCACACAAACAAACACAGCTTTTTGTTTCACTCAACATCAACATTAAAAACGGATTACTCGCGTTGTCTGTGTGCGTCACTCACTGCTGTGAACGATGTGCCACTTTGCAACAAGATCAACAAGTTGGCAAGCACAGCAAAACATACTTTTAATAGACGTAAATGATAAGTAAACTAAGTTATAGGAGCCGAATACTTATACTATTACTCAGTAACAGTATCTAGTCAGCAACCGTGTGAGTTATGCGAGTTACTCTCCTCAAACCTAACATTAAAGTTGCGCTAAAAAGTGGTAAGGCTAACGTTAGCATGGTTTCTCGAGAAAAGATTACATTCAGTCGCCCATTTCCTCTCGTCATTTACCTTGTTCGACTCTTCCCTGTACTCGAAGAAAGGAGAAATAATAGTGGCGGTCATGTTTGTTGTTAAATAATGACAATAAGAGCCGGTGGTTGTATAAATTAGTCCAGGTTTTGCGGTTTTCAGTGGAGAGCCCCCTCTGCCGTGCTGCGGAGCTGCGCACTTATTTTTCAGCAGGCAGCGGCCATGGGTGAGTGGTGGGCGGGGCTTCCGGCGCGCAGCAGCACGCGCTCAGAGCAACAGCGCCCCTGCAGTACACACGTGTCTCTGTCTCTGTGAAGGCGGAAGATATTTCATATCTGCTGTGTTTTCACCATGTGTCAAATATCTTTGCCTTCAATACATTAAATTAGAAAGCTGACAAAGTCATATTGCTTGTTAACATCTAAATGTAACTTGTTGCAAGGAAACAACCCTCAACTTAACTGATGTGTAGGTGATCTAGTATTTAGTATTGTTTAATGGAATGTATATCAGTGTATTCAAGTCAATACTTCATTTATTTAAACCAATATCTTTCTTGATTCTTTGTACAGTATGAAAAAAAGAGTATTTGTACCTGTGCTGAAGTTCACTGCTGTGAGGAGTCCAGTTCTGTCTCTCACTCTCTGGTCCAGCCTGTCTGCATCACCTGGACACCTTAAACAAACAGATATATATGTAAAGAACCATGTGTACAAACAATATAACTGATTCTCTTCTGTTGAACATGTTGGATTGTGTATTGTCCGAGTCAGGGTCCTTTTTATTTTACTGTAACTTTGGAAGTTGTGTTACCAATGCTTACTGTTTATTTGATACCAATTTGGTAATGCAATTAATAAAAACAACAAGGTTTGGGTTTGTTCTTCAGATGACTGTGACGTTAACGTGTAAGCTCAATAATGAACTCCAGCTCAACCAACCATATTGTAATATCTAAGTAATCATCTTGAAATATGACATTAATAATTGTAATATACACACATCTTATTGTGAGGTTGATTTCACATACACTACTTCGACATTAGCTTGTCTACATACTTGAGCATAGCCAATTTAAATTAACCTTAGCGATGTATACAGTTCCTACCTACATAATAAAATATCTCTCTAAGTTACAAGGATGACCTTATTTTATCAACCTCAAACAGAAGCCATTTGTTCTACAGTATTATCCCACTTAACGCTTAACACTTGTCTATTTCGTTTTAACCTTTATAAAGTCGATGGTTTTAACTTGGAGGCTACGACTTGCAGATTATCCCCTTATAAAGTTGTTATTAGATTCTTGTTCGACAACTTGACACATGAGGTCCGAACAGTCTTTAAGCTCTGTTGGAAGAAAATAAGGTAAAAGGGGATTTATAGCTCAGTAAAATCACAGACTTCTCTTTTTGTCCCTTTCACATTACACATTAATTGCAAAACCACTATAATGTTTTAAATGTTTGGCTAATGGCCACACAAGACCCAAGTTGTGAATCACATGTATACATCAGAGGAAAGGCCGGTTTTCATGTACCTTTTGAAATGAACTTTCTTGACCTTTTTCAGTTGAAACACATTTGTTTACAGTCTACACATTTATTTATATATTGTTACAAAACGCACTTTTTAAACCACAATACAGTATGTCCTTTTACATTCACTCTCCTCTCCTGTGTAGTCTACATTTGGTGGAGTTGGCCTCAGCTTAAAAGAGCTGATGCACCATTTTCTGGATTAATGTCACAAATGAAATGTGATATATTCTAATAGCAGGAGTTCCACCTCTGAGTCCATGGAAACAGGAAATACACCGCTGGTCAAAAAGATGGTCCATGGTTCTTATCAAGAAGATAACAGCGTCCGAAAGAAATAGTCAAAAACTAAAAAGTGCGAAAACTGCTCATCAGTGAGGCAAAATCAAGATCTCATGACTAGATTTAATGGATCAATAATAACTACATTTTACTGAACAACATTCAGTGGAACCAATAGACTGCTGTTCCACTTCTCCATATACAGCCTGAAATCTGCCATGACTTTCTTCCACCCACACGCATGGCTCCATGAGATCCAGAGAGTTTGGCGTCCAATGCTGGGCCCCTAACTGTTGACATGGTGGTATTTTTCAACACAAATACACTGTGGGGTATTTTTGAAAAGCCTTGCTATCACACACACTTTTCTGGTGTTGTTTTTCTTATTGGGGCCTGAGGTCTGTGTGCTTTGATGGAGAAAGAGAAAGCCGGGCAGGGAGGGAGCGCATGTTTGAAGAGCACAAATGTGATTTATTTGGCTTGTGTGGTATGTTGTTACACCAGAGGCCCACAGTGAGATAAGAGCGCTGCACTCCAATCTGGGACCGGCTATGTTTATGTGTCGGATGTGCTTCCTTATCTTGGTCTCTGTTGCATGAAGCATGTTTTCTTTCCCCCTAAATTAGGAGATTGGAATGCAGGAACGAGGCTTCCACACTATTTAACAAGGACTTATTTTCTTCGTGAAATATCTTGGCGTGATAAAAGTCATATATTAAGAAGGAAAAATTGACCTCTTATATAACACATTTGAAGAAAAAAGGATATTTTCCTTTTAACAGGTTAAGACATAATGGTGCAAATAGCTAACTTCACTTCTAATGTGTGTAATGGTGGCAATTTGTAAAACTAATATTTCCTACTACAAGTTGAAAAATCATATTTTAACAGAAAAATAAAGCAAGAAATTGAAATAAAACGTTTTCAGTTAAAGATTCCCTATTATGCTTTTCCCTTTCCTGCAGTGTGTACTATAGGTGTGTGTGCATGCAAATGGTCTGCAAAGGCTAAAATCCCTGTGTTTCTCTAATACCTCATTCACATCAACGGTGTTTCAGGGCCGGTTCGGAGCTGGAGCTTGAACAGCACCGGGTTTTCCTGTTCACACCGCAGCGGAGCAGCCTCTTATACCTCATTCACACCAACGCAACTCCGGTTCAAGCTCTGTGCTAGAGCTTTTCAGGTTCAGAACCAGTTCTTCGGTTTAGTTCTGGCTCTCTTCACACCGCCCATAGTCCGACTGGTAATGCGTCGTTGCGTCATCGTTTGCGTCATGACGTAACCGTTCGCGTGCCTGCTTCATAAAGCCAAACCGTGTGGATGAAATCAGTTGCATTAATTTCTTATGGCTCTATCTGCAGCTTTTCCGGAGTTATTTCTGTGGTTTAGTTATATTCTTATAAAAAAGTGTACTCGTGTCAATAAAGGTTTTTTTAAAACACAACTGCTTCCGAGGTCGGTCTTATTTCTTAAGGTGGACTGAACCATGAGTGTGGAGTAACGTTGTAGCTTTCATTTAAATGAACTGTAACCTTCACCCAGGTATGTAACAGCTGTTCTCAAATGAACACGTGAAGTAAAGTTTAATATTGATAGTTTTATAGATTTATAATGAGTTATAATGAGAGGTGATCAACGTGAATGCTCAGGTTCCACCTTAACACGCAGACACGTTGCTTCACCATGAGCAGAAACCTTTATGCAGTCTATGGCAGAAACTCTGAAACTCTTGTTAAGTTTCTCCATCGTTGTGTACAAACTGGATAAAACGCGGGCTTTTTGTTGTTGTTCAGGAGTTGATCTGTCTCTGCCCCCGCCTCGACGTAAGCGTGACGTATGTGGTGCTTTTGCTCTGGCCGGACAATTATTTGATGCTTGAAACTAACCGGATTCCGGAGCTAAGAGGCTGCTCCGCTGCGGTGTGAAGAGGAAAACCCAATGCTTTTCAAGCTCCTGCTCCGAACCGGCCCTCAAACACCGTTGGTGTGAATGAGGTGTTAGCTCCGGAATCCGGTTCATTTCAAGCACCAAAAAATTGTCCGGCCAGAGCAAAAGCACCGCATACGTCACGCTTACGTCGAGGCGGCGGCAGGGGCGGGATCAACTCCTGAACAACAATAAAAAGCCTGCGTGTTATCCAGTTTGTACACAACGATGGATAAACTTAACAAGCAGCAGTGGTCCACTGAAGAGACCAGCTACCTACTGGGAATCTGGTCTTCCGAAGAGGTACAGAGGAAGCTGGAGCACAATTGGCCAATAGGCGCATTCACACCGCAGTACTTTTCCCACAAAGGTTCATGAGAACTTAGTTCATGAGAACTCTTTTGTCGCGTTCACACCAAAAAGAGCCGGTACTAAAATTAGTTCATGAGAACCTTTTTACCCCCACGAAAGTCCCTGCTATACCTCATTCACACCAACGCAACTCCAGTTCAAGCTCCGTGCTAGAGCTTTTCAGGTTCAGAACCAGTTCTTCGGTTTAGCTCTGGCTCTTTTCACACCGCCCAGAATCCGACTGGTAATGCGTCGTTGCGTCATCGTTTGCGTCATGACGTAACCGTTTGCGTGCCTGCTTCATAAAGCCAAACTGCGCAGATGAAATCAGTTGCATTCATTTCTTATGGCTCTATCTGCAGCTTTTCCGGAGTCATTTCTGTGGTTTAGTTATATTCTTATAAAAAAGTGTACTCGTGTCAATAAAGGTTTTTTTAAAACACAACTGCTTCCGAGGTCGGTCTTATTTCTTAAGGTGGACTGAACCATGAGTGTGGAGTAACGTTGTATCTTTCATTTAAATGAACTGTAACCTTCACCCAGGTATGTAACAGCTGTTCTCAAATGAACACGTGAAGTAAAGTTTAATATTTATAGTTTTATAGATTTATAATGAGTTATAATGAGAGGTGATCAACATGAATGCTCAGGTTCCACCTTAACACGCAGACACTTTGCTTCACCATGAGCAGAAACCTTTATATATACAGTCTATGGCAGAAACACTGAAACTCTTGTTAAGTTTCTCCATCGTTGTGTACAAACTGGATAAAACGCGGGCTTTTTGTTGTTTTTCAGGAGTTGATCTGTCTCTGCCCTTGCCCCCGCCTCGACGTAAGCGTGACGTATGTGGTGCTTTTGCTCTGGCCGGACAATTTGTTGGTGCTTGAAACGAACCGGATTCCAGAGCTAAGAGGCTGCTCCGCTGCGGTGTGAAGAGGAAAACCCGGTGCTTTTCAAGCTCCAGCTCCGAACCGGCCCTGAAACACCGTTGGTGTGAATGAAGTACTAGAGAGCAGGGACTTTCGTGCGGCTCTCTTGTGAGAAAAGAGCTATATTTCTGATTGGTTGGGCGGATTGCAAACCACGCCCCGTAAAACTCCCAAAAAGTTTTGTGAAG